TAGAACAAAAGAGGTGCTCAACAGAATGAATGAATGAATGTCCCCTCTGAGTAAGTGCCTGGATTTGGAACTGGGACTAGTTTTGGGATAAGTCCACATTGCGTTTAAGATTCTAATCTAGATCCCACTGGTGGTATGAGAACATCTGAATTGTTGCCCCTGTCATTTTCCGCCTCTGCCCATATCTCTGTTCACTTCCCTTTAGTTAAGTCAAGCTATTCGCCCTCAGGCAGGTCATTTCACCTTTCTAAACTTCCATTCATAAAACGGGGCTGAAAGCTCCCACACTCACAGGGTGGTGGTGAGGGTTAAATGGGATAGCTTACGCAGTGTGCCTCCCACTTACCACCAAACCTGTTGTCATCAAGTCAATTCCAACTCATAGTGACCCATTAGGACAGGGTAGAGCTGCCCCATAAGGTTTCCAAGGAGCAGCTGGTGGATTTGAACTGCCAGCCTTTTGGTTAGCAGACAAACACTTAACCACAGCGCCACCAGGGCACCCGCACTTAACAAGTGCTCCCCAAACTACAATCGTAGTTACTATTATCTTCAGCTACACCTCCCTTTGTCACTCACACCCGCTGGCTATCTCCGTCCCTCTGAATTCCCTGCTCGCCTCCTGACCGTCCACCAGGGGGCCCCACACGCCGCTCTTCCTGCCCTGGCGGTCCCGGCTCTTGTAGGGATGGGGCTCCCCTCAGTACACAGTACCTCCCTTTTGGCTCAGATGATAGCTCAGTCACCCTTCCAACGGTGATCCTACGGTATGCCAGGCAGACATAATGAGAAGCATACCCCCTGTGTTTTCAAGGAGTGCTCTTCTGTAGTGGGGGAGGATGGGTTGAGAGGCAGAAGAAGCCCTGACCTGGACTTGCAGGTGGGAAGGTAGAGATGAGATTGCCCTGTGGGACCTTTCCCATGGCTGCATAGATTGGAGACCCTCCCTGCCAAGCCCTCAGACCCTCACTCCAAATACCTCAGCTCCTGGCATTAAACATGCCTACACCTCACCTGAAATTCTGAGCTCAGCTCTTCATCCCCAGCACCTCAGACGCTATCCCAAATACCCATAACAAACGCTTCCACCTTCACCTCAAGTATTCTTAGCCTCTCACTCCAAAATTTCAGTCCCTCAACCCAATCTTTCAGAAGCTCAGCCCCTCACCCCAAATGCCTCATCTTCTCCTTCAAAAAACGCCTCAGCCATTCATTTAATCCCTGCTTCTTGACTCTTTTTTTCTGCTCTTAGACACATAAACCAAACTCAAACCTGTTGCCGCCAAGTCAGTTCTGACTCATAAGGACCCTATAGGACACCAAGGAGTGGCTGGTGGATTCCAACTACCAACCTTTTGGTTAGCAGCCGAGCTCTTAAGCCACTGCGCCCCACGAGGGATAGGAAAATACTCCCACCATCGACAGTGGCTCAGCTGGCAATGGCGGGAGGGGCCATCCAGCTTTCCTGTGTGTAGCTGTGATTCCTTGAGAGAGCCATCTCTCACTCCCTCCTGGTTTGGGGATTGCTTATTCAAATGTTTTCATTTGTCCTTCTCACTCTTTTCTGTTCCCATTGTCACCTCTTCTCTCTGGTTTCAAATGCTTCACCACTAATGACTATCTCAGCGTCCCTCAGAGAGAGGGTGTGACCTTGCCACCCCTACTCTCCCGAACTATTCATAGAATCTAAGAGAGGACCTCAGAAACCACTGGCCAGTGAGTTTCCAACTTCTTTTTAGCCAGGGACTCTTTTCTTCAACAAACTCCCAAATGGAACTCCAATATATATGTTAAGCAGCAGCTGGCACATAACCATGTAATCCCTAGAGTTTTGTGGAATATGGATTGAAAGCCTCTCACAGACCGAAAACTGAATTTCCTTAAGTATTTCTTTTATAACATCCCAGCAAGTAGGTAGCTATTCTGTTTCCAAGGACTTCATCCCCCTTACATTCAAATACTTCACTTTCTACTGCCCCATTTTCCTAAGGTCTGAAGAATAAGTACCCTCACACCCTAAAATTGCATTCCAAATTTAGGGAGGAAAGCTTCTCTCTCTCATTCAGGGGGCAGTCCCATGTTCAGAGCCTCCAAAGAGAAACATCGGCAGAATGACGAGGGTCCCACCCAGTGGGGCCCCTCTGGTGGTTGTCAGGGCACCGATTTCCTGTGTAATTCCCTGTTCCCAGGGCTATGGGCACGGCTGGACTGGCTGCAACCAGAACAGTGCAGCCCGTGGACCCCAGGAGGTTGCCATAGATACTGATACGCAGGGAGCTGGTGAGCTCGTTATTATTTATATGTATCTTCCTTCTAATTGCTGTGGGGTAGCTGGAGGTTGTATGGGTGCTACAGCAATGGGGATCAAGGAGGGTGTCTGTGAGTGTGTGCATTTGTGTGTGTACACAGAGGTGTCTAGAGGCTGCTCCAGATTGCCACTGCAGACACATCAGCGTCTGAGCTGTTGAGAGAAGCAGTGAGGGAGAAATGAGGTAGCAATAGAACGGAAAAAGGAGAGAATGGATGGAGTTTCTTTCTGACTGTGTGAGTTCTAATTGTCTACCTTATTTGGATGTTTTGCCAAGAGGTAGTACAAAGCACATAGTAGGCAGTTAATAAATATTTGCTGAAAGGCAGCTAGCTGCACTTACACAGCACAGTGAGTCATCAACAGGACTTCACCCCAATATTTTTCTTATCACTCTTCCTTTTATCCACTCAATGCAAAATGCTTTATATGGTTAGCCTGAAATACCCAGTGTCGAATCCTCACCCTCAGCCGGGATGATACCCTCTCACAGCAGGCATGTGAGAACAGTCAGGGTTGTAGTCCTGTTTTGACTTTTTCCCCTGGGATACCCTCAGGGGACTCCAAAGCAGCCCTCGTCTGTGCCTGTTCGGACCTCTCTCCATCTCTTCACTCTACCTCGCATTAATGAATATAAAGTTTCAAGGATCAGCGTCTGGAGGTCAGGAACCAAGTTGCCTTGAGAGCTGGAAGGGCACATTGATGATTAACTGATATGTAGCCCAGAGTTCTGAGTTCCTTGCGTTTACCCAGAGCAGGGGGCTGCTGTCCCCATTTCTGAAGCGCAGTCTGAGTAGCCTCATTTCTGCCTTTAAAGTGGATGACAGAGCTCAAGACTTACTGTCATCCCCATACATACACCCTTGTTGCCCTACCCCACACTGGGCTAGGGACCTGGCTCTCACCCTGGTGCTCTGAGACAGGAAGTGGCCTTACTCCTCACCGCTTTACTTCCTGTTGCCCTCAGGAGGGGTGGGGCATGGTGCTTTGTCACCTCTACCCTTTCCCTTGGCCCTCTCTGCCCTCCTCCCAGGAAATGTGTCAATGCTTTTCCTCTTGGGTTCCACTCCTGCCTATTCCCTGATCGCCCCTCCTGGGCGGTCTGGTTCTTGGATTAGCTCCTAGGGCTGTTGGGTAAGGGAAGGAGGGGAGTTCTCCCTGGGAGCTTTGCTCCACCCACCCCCTGGGGAGGCGGCTTAGGAGGCTGGGACGCAGCTCAGCCTCTCGGCGGCCTCCTCTGGCGAAGAAGACTTCTGACAATGAAGGCTCCACTCCCAGTGGGTGTCCTGCTGTAATCAAGACAGCTGCAGCACTTGGTGCCAGCTCTGCCCTGCCCAGTGGGGCTGATTGGGGTACAGCTGCCTGGGCAGGTCGGGAACCTACCAGGGAGACAGTTATGTGCCTCTGTCCCACCACCCTGCAATGGTCAGGACAGAGGAAAGGGTGGCAGCTCCCTCTGCCATGGCCCCAAGGAGCCCCTTCATTCCACAAATATTTATTGAGGGCCCGGGCTGAATATACAATGGTGAACAAAGGAGGCAGAGGCCCCGCCCTATTGCAGCCTACAATTTAGCGGGAAGGCAAATATTAAATAATAATAGCTAACACAGCTCTGATTAGGTGCCAGGTGCTATGCCAAGTGTTTACATGATTCAGCCCATTTAATGCTCACAACCCTATGAGGTACATACGATTATTCCCAGCTTTCAGATAAGGCAACTGAGGCACAGGAAGATTAAGTGACTTGCCTAAGGTCACACGACTGGCCAATGAGTGGCCCAGAGTTCTAAGTCAAGCAGTCTGACTGCAGAGTTAACGCCTTCAACAGCTAAGTTCTAGCTCTACTGCCTCTCATACCAATAAACATATAATTACAAAATGTGATAAGTGACATAAAATGAAAGTACAGGATGCTCCGCAAGAAAATGGGAATGCTTTCTCCTTCCTTCTGCTTTCTCTTCCACTTCCAATGCACAAAGCCTTTTCTAATCTTTTGCACTTCATCTCTTTTATTTCTGGCCTGAGAGAAAACGTTCTCTCATCTCTAAAGTTGGAGAGCAGAGAAGCACGGTTCCATTCGCATCCTTGCCCCTGGCCTGGTCTCCCTGATCAAACCGTGCCTGAAGAGTTTCTTCCAATAATGGCCCTGATGCTTGCGCAAGTCTAGACTGTCAGCTCCCCAAGGGAAGGCTGCTGGGAGCTGGAACTGCACAGGCTGGGGGGCGCCTCCCACGTGTGCAGTCTGACACAGGCTCTTTGACCTTGGCCCTCTCTGCACATGCTGTGAGCCAGACTAGGGGCTTAGGACCCCGTGTGTGGGGCCCGCTCAGTAGATCTCGTTGCTCTAGCCCCCTACATCCCAACACCAACACACGCCACCCTCGCGCGCACAGTCCCGACCCCTTGCAGGTTCTGCCCCGGGACGAGCCCCCAGGTCGCGAGCCTTCCAGTTCCCTCCGCCTCGGCGAGTGGCCGCGGGTTGGGACCCCCCCCTCCTCTCCGCTCCCCTGAACGCCGGGCCGGGCCCGGGCGGCTCCCGGGGCAGGGCGGGGCCGGTGGCAGGAGGCCCC